CCCCCGCTGCTCGGTGGGAGAACGTTGGGGCTTTCGACGCCCAGAAAGGGAGTTTACGGCTCGGAAACCCACAGGGGCTCGGAAAACGGACCTTGACCCGCTGGCAGGGAGTTGGGGTTTGGGGTTTGGGCGAACCGAGACCCCACCCTCAGCTTTTGTAGGGCCCTCCGCTTTAAGAATGGGTTTGGAATGCTCACAGACGAAGGGGCTTCAAACCATTCGTGGAGCGTGTTCAGTAGCCTTTCATTCCATTTCCCAGCAAGCTTTTGAAGCCCTTCATAGGCGCTAGGAGGGGGCAGGCCATGAAGAAGAGTATTTTGTGACAAGGGAACATTCTATGGAATGCCAAGCCTGTTCGTGTATCCACCGCCCTTGGCAAGAAGAGCCGAGCTGGGTAGTTGCAACAGACACCTAAGACGTACAGAGCCAAAACATTTAACATCTTTACAGAAATAGCTTGCTAACTCTACGGTGATGCAAATGATGAAATGATCAGTCTCTAGTGGAATGGTTGGCAGGTCAAACCAACCCAGAGTCACCTGGTGATTTGCTTCTGAAAGATCCCCGTGACCTGGGAATTGATTGACAGCATCTACCAACCAGGGCTTTTAGAGGGTTGGGGTGACAGAGGGATAAAGACGTGCAGTTCCTGAATCTCAGGCCCTGTGCATGAATTCGGTTCATTAGTCCCTGGCTTAGTTCTGCTTCTAGCCACACGTCCCTTAGCCTGACCTCATCACCTCCCTTTGGACCAGCTCAAACATTTTCCTTGCCCCAATTCTTTTTAAAAATCATTTTATTGGGAGCTCGGACAACCCTAATCACAATCCATCCATCCATCTATTGTGTCAAGCACATTTTCCTAGCCCCAATTCTATTAGGAATCAAGATCCATCCCATGTAGCCTCCAAACCTGTGTGGTCGTCCTGTATCTCATGAGATGAAGATCAAGCACCTACCCTTCGGAGCATCAGAATCGGCCCTACCAACGACAGCCTATTGCAGGATTTTCCACTCTCCTCGATCCATGCCGAACTTCCATCACCCTGTGACCAGTGGGGCTCCAACCATCAGCACACACCATTCCCTGTGCCAGGAGTCACGTAGTGTCTCTTCCTCACCCAGGAAAAGCCTACACCTCCTTCAAAATACATCTCAAGTGCCCCCTCTCTTGGCACGCCTTTTCTGACTCTTCCCATAGCCCCTTGTGCATCATCTTTCTTTTTCCCCTTTGCCTCTAATACAAGTGTCTGTCAGCGTCTCATCCACAAATGTTCACTGAGTGAATGAATACCCAGGTAATGACCACGTGCCATTTTCCTTGAGCATCCAAAGCACAGGAAAGCCGAGCACTAACAGGGGGCACATGAATCATTTCTCACACACTGTGTTAGGTGTCAGAATCAGCATGGTTGACAAAAGAGGGTCCGAGGTTGCCGGAAAGACACGGACTCAACCACACTTGATTCACACAAAGAAGAGACAGAGTCTCGCTAGTCAGTTTCCCATGGCCGGGGAGCATTCCCTGTAACAACTGATGCAGGGACGATGGTCTGCGGGTCCTGCCAAAGGAACACCTGGTGCTCTCTCTGCCAGGAACAGATATCAAAGTGGGGTGTGCCAGGCACCGTGTGACACACATACACACACACACATAAGTACAGGGAGTCAGCCAGTGCACACCGGTTCTGCAGAACAGAGACCTAAGTTTTTGTTGAGTTTGGCAAACCGGTTGTTAAAATGGCACTTGTAATCAAGGTTCTCGCCAAGTGGTTGGCTGGGCTCACAAATTTACACTCCTTACTCTTTTTTAATGTTCATCTGTGCGACAGTAGTGTTCTGATATCACGTTGAAATAATAAACCACCTTTCGATTGATCACGTTTTAATACTTAACACGGGAATCAGGGTAGCGAACCAGTTGTTAAAGTCTTGGAATCCCACCATGGCTTGAGTCGCAAGCAGACTGGGTGTCCAGAAGAGGGAAAGAATTTCCCTGACAAAGAGGAGGAAGAAACTGGGACAGGCTCAGCGTTCAACCTCATTCCCAGGGAATATTGTCGTCTCAAGGACTCTGACCACGGGGTTCAGGGATGATGGTCCAACTCAACCTGTCCTCGAATTTTTTTGACTGCTGCTTCCACGGGCATTGATTATGGATCCAAACAAAAGGAAAGGCTTGATGACTTCAATCTTCCTCCAGGTATCCTGAAGTTGTCTATTGGTCCAGGTGTGAGGACTGGGGTTTTCTTGACATTGAATCGGAACCCAGACGAAAAGCTGTCACCCTTATCTTCGTCACCAAGTGCTTCGAGTGTTTCTCCCTTTCAGCGAAGAGCCAGGTTGCACCCTCTGTGTATCAGCCATTGCTCATAAGCTTTCCTCCGATCCCGATGCCACGCACGCTCTTCTTCGAGTCATCCCGCTGCCCAGATCTGTGCTCAGCACACAGATTGAATCAGGATGCTGAAAGGATACAGCCTGGATGCACAGGGTGCTGTATAGGGCTTCCAAGTGTGCAAGTCTTTCTGGGAGCAGGCAGTCTCCTCTTTCTCCTCCAGGAGGTTTTCTGAGCCCGCAAAGGTTTACAGCCGCCCAACACATAACCCAATACACCATCGGGGCTCTTTTTAAGTTAGCCCCTATAAAAGATTGGGCTTCCGATGCTAGGTCCCTTGGCCTTGAAACAAGTATAGCCCACCTCGGCAGAGCTGCCTGGGAGCCTCAGGACAAGGGAAACTGCTGTGAAGATGAGGAACACGGGTCTGTGGTCTCTGACCCCAGAATTGAAGCAGCCATGAAACTGTCTTTGACTCACCTGTCAGCTTGAAGTCCTGCAAAATCTTGGACACGTCACTGTTCCTGATCAAGCCATCCCTTTGCCTCTCTGAGAACACCTGGGGGAGTGTGTGTCTGTGCGGGTAGACGTCAAGTCTAGGCCAGCCTGTGCATTGCATGTCACTGTCCATCATGGAATATGAGGGGGTACCCCCCGCCAAATAAATGGAATGTTTTTCAAAAAAGATTTATAGTCTTGGAAACCCTATAGAGGATTATAGAAATGAAGCTGGAGATGGCCTGATCAAATATTGCAAGACCAATGACTTCTTTCAGTCCAAATACCTTTTTTTAACCACCCAAAAAGGCGAGTGGACACATGGATTTCTCCAGATGGAATACACTGAAATCAAATGCACTAGATCTGTGGGAAAAGTACCCCGGCCCACCAACACAACAAACAAATCTCTCTCAGAAGGAGTACAGGCAGAGTGCGCATTAGAATCGAGGACCATGAGACTTTGGACATGTTACCAGGAGAGACCAGTCCCCGCAGAAGGACATCATTCTTGGTAGAGGGGCAGCAAAAAAGAGGAAGACCCTCCAGCAGATGGACTGACACAATGGCTGTAAAACAATAGGCTGCACTACAGTGACCATGATGAGGGTGGGGCAGGAGAGGCCGTGTTCTGATCTGCTCCAGGGTGTTGCTACGAGGGAGGTGGACCCAGCTTGACAGCACCGGGTAAGGACCACACTGTGCCTTGATGACAGGGGGCTTGGTTTGGATTTGGAGCTAGGCGAATGAGTAAACCCCTCTTGGAGGAAGCACAGCCGGGAGACTCCTTAGAAGGGAAGCTCTTGGGGCTTTGTCTTGCTTACCTGGGGCCTGTCATCAGGGAAGCCCAGTGGCTGGGAACAGACAGTGTGTTCCGCAAGCAGAGGCTCGGGGAAGATGAAACCGATTGGAATGTTGGCTCCCACAGGAGCCCCTGAAGGACCGGTAATTGTGAGGATGGCACAGGACCAGGCTGGGCTTCATTCCGGTATACATGAGGTCTTCGTCAGTGGACCACTGTCTCGATGGCACTTAACAAACAGCAGCAGCAGGGCCTGGAGAAGGCTTACCGGAGGAGGTGGTATTCTAGCTGAGAGCTGAAGGATGCCCAGTTGCTGCTGATGAGCAAAGTCAGAGGAAGCAGTCGTACCAAGGCCCTGAGGTGGAGGGGAGCAGAGCACATTGGAGTGATTTCGTTTAAAACAAAAGGCCAGTGTACCTGGATTGCAGAAGGGGAGGGGGGGGAGGATGCAGGACAAGAGTGAGAGGTGGGTAGGGTCAGACCAGACAGCACCTGAGGGGGTCAGTTAAGGCTTCCTTGCTAATGCTGTAGAAACCACGCATAGGTTTAAGCAGGGAGTAATCAGCTCGGCGCTGGGGAGTGACTGCTGGGGCTCGGAGGGGATTGGAAGGGAGCCAGGGAGAGTGCAGGAAAGCTGCTGTGCATGCTTGGTCTATGCACAGGGGCAGCGGCTTAGCCCAGGATGGAGGTGGAGGAGCTGGAGGGAAGGGTAGGAGGCAGAGGGAGAAGCGGCATCCAGGGTAGGTAGCTCAAAATCCAGCAAGGGATTCTGC